CGTCAAGTTCCCGCTCGGCAGTAGTTGCCCGCTCGACTGCACACAGCTCTTCCGCCCGTGCTCCCGTCGCATCGGTCGCCCGGTCTTGAGACTCAAGGTGGGTGGACTCCAGTTGGTGCCTGAGCTCGTCGACCTGCCGTGACACCATCGCTTCCTGCTCCATCTGACCGTGCTCCTCCCAAAGAAATTGGGACTTACGGATCGACATCATCTCTAGGTCCTGCAAGACAAGAAGCAGGCGTGCTGAGACAACCATTTAAAAGTTCAGGAATCAAAGACAACACCAAGAACATAGAAAACTTACCTCTGCAACGCGTGGCAGGTCGACTGTCATGGACTAGTGGATGAGCTCAACCCTCTCTAAGGCCTCCTTGAGCCTCGCCTTAGTAAGGGTGAGATCGGACTCCATCGATAGTCCTCTCTCCCCGAGCAGGTGCCAGAGCTTCACCTCCTCCTCGTCACGAAGGACAAACCGGGCCTTTCCCGGCTCACCGGGGCAAGGCCACACCAGCTCGTGGGTCTCCCCCGACCCGCTGGAAGATCCAACCATGGCAGTATCATGCGACGATCGGATCATCACCAACTCCCGGGACGTCCGGATGGCTGGCGGCTCCACCCCGGTGTCTTCCTCACCGGAGAAGGGGATGTCCACCACCAGGATTCCATGGCTCACTGGTGGCTGCTCTACCTCTGGCCTGCCCTTGCTTCCTTCGGACCCCTCCAGCTCTGACCAGACGAGCGAAACATGCGCTCCTCCACCGGGCGAGACAGGGAGCTGGTTTCCCTCCTCTCCTCCACAACCATTGGGGGAGGGACCACGAGAGTCACCTCTGACCTGGCCTCCACCGTCACCACAGGGATCACCGCCAACACCACCACTACTGCAACCTAGGCACGGGAAATAAGGCGCAACCGCACGCAAATGACCCTTCGCCTTCCCAGGTAGGGTCGGGAGGGACCCAGCGATGGAATCTCCATCGAGGAGAAGCCAACGAATCACCCAAGTTGATCGGACGGTTCAGGCGGCTGCCGAGAGACGAGTAAGGAGCAGTGGGATGCCCCATGCGGGTTATGCCAACCCCATCACGAACGACGAACACAGATCCCACTCGGACAAACCCGATAGGAGCTCTTCGGACCCATCACTCGAGCCATCGAGGTAACTTTACCAACCCCCGTTCTACTTTTCCAGTGCATGATCATTCATTTATCCCTTCTCATGCATGCATTCATACATTCATCCCATACATCAAAGCATTGCAGATGCAATTGTTGCATCACAACCCTTCGTGTCGCGTTACGAAGTGGCAGTCGTCTCATTCAATATGAACGACGACCGACCGGGGTTCGAAGGCCGGCCCACGAAGGGCTCGAGGCCGCCTCACGTCAAACAGAGATAGGGGAGAAAACGCAAATGAGCCCTAGTGGCCCTCGCCCGATCCGCTCAGAAGCAGACAGGGTTATCTCGACCTTCTCATTCGATCCTAACCTCGAGCCAAACCCACAGAATCTCTATAGAGGGGAGGCCAGTGGGCCACCTGAGTCGGTCTCTGAAACGACTCGGGCATCTGCCGGGAGGCGGGTTAAGGTGCAGTGGAATGCCACATGAGGGCTATGCCGACCCCATCATGAACGACGGACCCAGATTCCACTCGGACATACCCGTTAGCGAGCTGACCTAGCACGACACTCGACTCCTTCGGTTGTGGAAACCACGGACGGGGTGATGAGAAAAACTCGGCCGACCCCTATCGAGCCCAACGGGACCTAGGGGCCTGAGCTGCCAGGTCCCTACTTAGGAACCCGACCGACCGCGCAGGTTGTGGTCGGAACGGACATGGGCCAACACCCCAACCGAAAAGAACACAAGAGTCCATAGCCCTAGAAGACAGTACCAAGGTGCTCAGCCTTCGACCAACTCTCCAGCCGGCTGCAGGCTCAGGGGCTACACTCATCTCCGTCTCGCACCGACCCTTGGGTTCGCGCTCCGTCTCGCTTGACCCCTCGGCCGTGCCTGACCCTTGGGTTCGCGCTCCATCTCGCCCGACCCTTGGGTTCGCGCTTCATCTCGCCCAACCCCTCGGCCGCGCCTGACCCTTGGGTTCGTGCTCCATCTCGCCCGACCCTTGGGTTCGTACTTCATCTCGCCCGACCCCTCGGCCACGCCTGACTCTTGGGTTCGCGCTCCGTCTCGCCTGACCCTTAGGTTCGCGTTCTGTCTCGCCCGACCCCTCGGTCGCGCCTAACCCTTGGATTCACGCTCCGTCTCGCCTAACCCCAAGGCCACGCCATAGGCTCCGTCTCGCCCGACGCCTCGGGTTTGCGCTCTGTCTCGTCCGACGGCGACCCACAACCTTACACCCCCCGAGTGCGCTCGACAAACGAGTGTAAACAACCCCTTCATGACTTCATAGAAGTTCCAAAGGGGTTCGGAGGCTCCTGTCGGGTTCATGAACCTAGGGTCCCTAATGGACCCGCTTCCCTGTAAAACCCGGCCCAGCAGGCGGCGCAGCGACAACGCGTGCCTGGGCCAGCCTAGGTACATAATGACAGGCCGGGACAACGATTCGGTCCCCGACCGAAAGGCCTGGCCAAGATGGGACCGCAGTCCAGCTCCGACCTCCTTCTTCGACCGATGATACGCCAGACCTCTGCTCGTTGCTCTTTTCCGACCGACTAGGAACAACTGACCAGGGACGCCCGGTCGATGAGGGCCCAGGGATCAGGCGGACCAGATAAGGTAAGACGCTCAAGTCAACCGCAATACCGAGGACCATACCCTGCGCACCTGCAGGACGGTGCCTCCAAGCCATGCCAAACAGGCACTATACAACCTTCCAGGCGCATCAGAACACAAACAGTATTATAGGCGTCGACGTTTGCCGTATCAGGCGAACACGGTAGAGCCTGCCAGATGCGTCTGAACATAAACAGTATTGTGGGCGTCGATAACCGTCTCGTACCCGACAGCGTGGGCAAGAAGACTAGGTAGCACATGCATACACTCTCCCTCTTTCTCTGACTTGTAAGGTCATCCCCTTCAAATTGTAAAAGGGGTGATCTCTCTCCTAAAAGCTCTCTCGAAAAAGAAAAAATGGCTAGATAACTCGATGACTCGACGACCTGAGGACTTGAACAGCTCAATAGTTTTAGAACTCGACAGCTACACAGAGCATACGCTCCAATACTTAGCACACGTTAGATCATCCATCATTCTCGGCCACTCGGATCGGAGTCCGACCGGACCTCCTACACCCACTTCTCATTCCTACTCGTTTGTAACCCCACAGCAAACTTCGAGCACCTGGGCTCAGGAATAAAGTCACCGACTGATTGAAATTGGACGTGGGCCACGTTGTCTGAACCAGTATAAATTCTGTGTCATTGAGTGCTAGGCCAAATTCGATCACAACGCACAGTAAAACTACAAACATTTATTTGTTGGTCACTTTTCGTACCGACGAGAGGAGTGATAGATATGTTGTTTAATTTTTTCTTTTGTTTCTTCTTGTTGCTTCTATAATCATGATTTGTGAGTAATTCCTTAGATTTCTCATCTTGACCGGTAATCCTTGCCGGGCAGGCTTGAGTCGTACTGCACCTCTTGTGTATGTATCTGCTCCCTTCTTTATCTTCGTCAAATGGTCTTGGTGGAAATATATAAGAGTAGATGTTAAAACGTTCGATTCAAGTACCACCCGTCCACCACTATGATCTTACTTCGTTTGATTTGATGAGGTCGAATTAGCCTCCTCGCTGAACAGTGGCGGAGCCACGTGTAGGTCGTAATGGGTCATGCTCAATCAATCAAATAACGATATTAATTATATACTATAAATATTAATTTATATATATATATATATTTGATTAAAATTGAAAATATTTAATTTTTCGAAAAACGAAAACAACATCGAAGACATGAGAGTATATGCGAACGTGACTAAGAATCATTTTTTAATGGAGGAGTACTAGTTCATAGCTCCAGTCTTGTAGGGGCCTCGTGCCTCAGCTATGCCATGCGGCATTGCCTGCGAGTTTTCACGCAACCTGGGCCTTCTTTACATTAGCGTTAGAAATCAGTATTGGGTATTGTAGTATTTTTGTTTGTATTTGATAATTATTGTTTAATTATGGTCTAACTAGACTCAAAAGATTCATCTCATAATTTATAATCAAACTGTGTAATTAATTATTTTTTTATCTATATTTAATACTCCATGTATGTGTCCAAATATTTGATGTGATAAAGAGAGAGTGAAAAAACTTACAATCTAAATAAGGCCCTAGGACAAGACCACTGAAGCTACACAGCCTAGGACAAGACTACTAGGGCTCTGAGCTACTACTACACAGCTTCCGTATAGAGAGTGAGACGTCTTGGGAGCTGAGACCAGTAATTCCGGTAATTGAGATTTGAGTAAAATGCGCTATAGGTACTCAAATTATTGTGTGGTTTTTAAATAGGTACTTGACTGAAAAACCTACCTACTAGGTATTGGATCTATATTTTTTGGTCATCAGCAGTACTAACTTGGCCACGTAGGCAACATCAGCTCATGTCCAAGCCACCCTGGACGCCCATTTTGCTAAAAACCCCTCAGCCAAATCATCCATTCACATTCACAGTTCATTACATATGCTAAGAAAACCACCTAGCCTAACCATCCATTCACATTCACAGGTCCCATTTTATATGCTAAGAGAACACACCATCCGAACCATCCATCGATTCACAGTGATATATATTGACTGAGAAACCATTTATTTCCATAGTTGTGGTCATTACAGCCAAGATGTCATCAGCAAACTAGGAATTGTTTTGTTGCTTCCATTACATATGCTAAGAAAACAGCAAGTTGCTGCAAATAATCTATACCTATATGAGATCCCTACACAAAAGGCAACTATAGTTGCTGGACAAAAGGCAACGTATAGTTGCTGGACAAAAGGCAACTATATTTCCTGCACAAAAGACTACCTAAAGTGTTGTCTGGGCTATCCTACTGTCCAGATTGACCTCTCTTGGTCTTACATGTCTTCTTACTAGGGGCAGCACCGTTGTTCTTCACTATCTTGGTCCTTGAGGTCCTTCCAGTCTTTGTTGTTGTTGTAAGTGGAGTATGCCTTGCTGGTGGAAGGTTGGAAATGATGTAGGTAGAGTCTGGCAATGGTGAAGTAGATGGAATGTGCCTCATGTTCTGTGAAGCCTGAATACAATTGGTTACATCAGTTTTGTGATATGCCAGTAATAAATGGTTGTGACTGAAACTAAAATGAACATTACTGGTACCTCATCTAGTAGTTGTGACAGCATGGGGTTCTCTACTTGGGACATTACTGGTACCTCAACTAGGTTAGTCACCTCCTAAACCAATAATAAAGTTAGATAGTTACATTTGCACATGTAAAATGTATGGTTGTGGCTGTGCACATACCTGGGAATGACTCACCTCATAACTTGGTTGTTGTTCTGGCTCAGTTGTAGTTGTAGTAGCAGTTCTAGTTGGTTTTTTTGTTTTCTTAATAACTGGTAGGCCTGCCTTCTTTGCTTCACACCTAGCTGAGTTATGACCAGTTTGTCCACAATGGCTGCAGTGCATGATTACTCCATGTTTGGACAGCCTTGGTCCATTAGGACCTTGAACTTCATGTGCTGCCCTTTTTCTTGCCTTAGGTGGTCTGCCTACCCTCTTCTCATACTTAGGTGGCTGCTTCTACGGACCTCCAACATTCTCCGAGGAAGATTTTTCGAACATGGATATATGTTGCAGCCATATGCATTTTTGAATGCATCAATGGAGTAACAATTTGGGAGCACCTTTGATCTTCTAGGATTCTTTCATGCTTCGTGCAAGAAATGGCATGGTCTGCATGGTATGCCTATCAACCGCCACCTTCTCGCATTCACAATTTTTGCCCATAAGATCAACCACATACGCCACTCTCGGTCATGAACTTCAAAGATACCATTCCCACTTGGTATAGGATAGCATGTGTTGGAGAAATCAGCATGCCTAGCTAACTTTTCCTGATCTTTGGGCATATGGCCATTCCTACCTATTTCTCAGTCACTTCTTTTTGTTTATTGTAATGCCTGACCATTAGTTGGGACTTGATCTTCTGTATCATGGTCAAGATAGGCAGTTCTCTAGCTTTCAAGATGTAATTGTTGAAAACTTCACAAGTGTTGTTTAACAGGATATCACATTTTGGGTACTCACTGAAAAAGGCTCTAACCCAAGTGTTTGGTGGTATCTTCTCTAACCATGCATAGGCATCCTTGTTGAGCACTTTCATTTTCTCCATTTCCTGGTTCCACCTTGTTACTGTACTTGCTCTAGCACATGCCCACAGTTCATTCTTCAAGTTTTCCCCTTTGAAGTGGCCTTGTAAGTTTGAGTATAGATGCCTAACACAGAACCTATGCTCAGAGTCAGGGAAAACTTGCTGGACAGCAGGGATTAGTCCTTTTTGTTTATCTGTCATTATGGTCCAAGGAGTGGTGTTGTCTATGCCAAGATCCTATTTTAGTGTCTCTAGGAACCACTTCCATGATGCTAGACACTCTACCTCTACCACTGTCATGGCTACAGGAAAGATACAATCATTTGGGTCTATGCCTACAGCAGTGAGTAGCTGTCCCCCAAATTTAGTCTTGATGTGGCAGCCATCTAGACATATCACTAGCCTGCATCCACTGAGGAAACCCCTCTTACAAGCATCGAAAGACACATAAAGTGAACTGAAGTAGCCATCAAGCAAGTTCAGAAAGAAGCTACTACCTGGATTTGACTTCCTAAGTTCACGACCATAGTTCCAAAGAAGATTGAATTGCTGCACTTCATCTCCATAAATGATGTTCCATGCCATCCTTCTTGCCCTACTCAGCTTCATCCTAGAGGGGGTCAAGTTCAACTCCAACTGAACCGTCCTTCCAAAATTGGTCAGGCTCATCTTCTCATCAGCCCTAAACTTGTCCAAGTACTTGTTAGCTAGCCATTTTGCAGTGCACCTCTTAAGCACCCATTTCTTCTGATAATGGTGATCACCAACATAAGATTTGATCAAGAAACATTCCATCCTAGAATCAAATGAAGCATACAAGTACCATGGACAACTAACATCACAATGAGCTTTGATTCTGGTCTTATCATTCCATGGCATCTTTATCTCCACCCTATGTTTGATACTGTATTCTGTAATAGCCTTTCTTAGCAGTTGTACTGATGCAAACTTCATTCCAATTTTGAAAATAGGGTTCTGCAGGTCCTCTGGCCTGAAGGTCTTCAAATTCATCCCAACCTGGCCCTCTTCCTCAGCTGGTAACTCTAACTCATCCTCATCAGATGATAGCTCATCCCATTCCCTAACCGTTGCCATCTTCTCTTTGCCATATGGAGCATTTCTCTTCTTCCCTTTGCTGACTACAATGCCCTTGGCTGCACCCTCATCAACCACCCCATCATCAACATTGTCATAGAATAGGTCATCATCATCATCATCAACTTCATAGTCATTGTCTAAGAAGTACCCATCTATACTGCCATCATTGTCACTATTGTTGTTGTTGTTGTTGCCCACATCATCTCTTTCAGGTGGCACCTTCCTAGGACTTAACATTTTGGGTAGTGTACCAATTGGATTCAACACAATGTCTTTGTCAAATGAATTATAGATATCAAAGTACATCACAAAGTTTTTGATCTTATATGCAAATTGGTTCATGATTTGTGTATCTGCATCTGAGTCTACAATTCTCAAACCAGTAGGCACAACCATCTCAGGCAACAACCAGTACACCTCCACATTGTCAAGTCCATAACCTAACATCACACTAATCTCATCAACTGCGAAAAAATGCCAATACTTCTCTTTGATATGGTCAAACCAATCAACCTTGCCATCAAGATAAATCTGATCTTTACCAGACCCACAGAAAAATCCCCCATGATGTATTTCCACAGAGAACTCGTCATCCTCAGGCCCTAAACATTCAGATAAACCTAAAGTTCGGTGCTTTGCCCTGACAACCCAATCTATGCATCAAATCCATGTACTACCACACCAAGTTTGCGGCACTTACCATAAACAGGTGCTGGTTCCCCTTCCAATCGCTGGCGACCGGCCATGGTGCCGTGCCGCGCCACGCCACACCTCCCACGGCTTCAACCAAACCTCTTTATTTTCCTTATTACTACCAGAATCTTGTTGTCCATGGAGGGAGGCACACGGACACACCTGATTCTTGTGATGGCGACGACGTCCTTGGCCTCGGCCTGCTCGCGGCACCCGCTCGCGGAGCGTGGCGACCGCGCCCCTCACGAGGCCGCTCTCGCCCCCATCTGACCCCCGCCGAGCACACCCCTCACGAGCACGCGGCGAGATGGGGAGGCGGGCAGCGGCGAGACTGGAGGGAGGCGGGTGGCGATGAGATTGTGGGGGAGGGGGGCGGCGAGAATGGAGGGGCCGGCGGCGGCAAGACTGGGAGGGCTGGGCGGTGGCGATTTCACGGGCGGCGGCGGTGTATTGAGAGAATACGAGAGAGAGAGAAGACCGGCACGGGAGACTTCAGGGACGGGAGGGGTTTCAGCCGTACTACACCTAGGGACCAAGAAGTGACCGGCCACGTTCGGCGGGGGGGTTTCAGCAAAAATCCCATGACGATTGCGATGCTGATGCCTACGTGGCTTGTCCACCTAAGCTGTTGTTGCCTGCATGGCCTAATCTTGTGCTGTTGATGACAAAAATATAGATCCAGTACCTAGTTGGTAGGTTTTTCAGTTCGAGTACCTATTTGGGAACCACACAATAGTTTGAGTACCTGTGGTGTATTTTACTCTTGAGTTTTCTTAAGGATGGCACTTAGCAAGTAATGGAGATTTCCACATTAGAGAAAAGTTTAACACTATCAGTCCCCGCTTGAATTCCCTTCACCCTCCGCCACTGTTTTTTAAAGTTTGGGCTTGGAGCACCTATTTACCGTAGAACAAGATTGCGGGTTCTTTTGCAGATTCCTCTCATAATGGGAGATGAACCTGATATTTTATGGTGAAAGCCAGGCGTTGCAAATTCTCAGGCAGGTTTGGGCGGATAAAACAATTCAGCCACGAGTAAAAACCTTTGCCTGGAGACTTCTTGGACTTGCACTTGGGACAGCTTGCAGGATCCATAGGATTATTCCAGAGGTCGATGATACATGCTCTCGCTGCGGGAAGCATGAAGATGACAACCATCTATTTTTTGGTTGTAGCTTTGTTCGGGCGGTCTGGTTTGCTTCACCATTGGCCCTAGAGCCAACGCCTTACCACAGACAGGTCACGGACTCCACTCCCAAATTACTGCTATGTTGCAGCAGGGACCATCTCAAGCTACTACAAGTAATATTCTCCATTATGTGGTGTTTGTGGAAAGCTCGCAATGATCACAGATTTAACAACTCCAATTAGACGGTTACAAGGGTGTTACATGAGGCAAAAGCTACGGATACGTCTTACAATATAGCAATTGAAAATAACACTATGCCTCAAACTATTAAACATGCTCCTACAACTCCAACAACTGCAGCTGCCACTCGCTTTACTGCCTTGCAGGCCCATGAGAGAATAGCAAATGCTACTCATACTACTACAATGCAGGTCCAAGAGGCTCCTAAGATTTTTTGTGATGCCTCTCTTTATTCTCAAAATCCTACTACAACAAACCAAACAGGGATTGGAATCTGCCTTCTCACTCGACCTGCTAGAAGTACCTCCCATGTTTCTTTTTTTTCAGGTAGCGATTCCACAGGTCTTGGAGCCACTGGAGGCTGAAGCTCATGCCCTCCTTTTTGTGCAAAGCTAGCTTCAGCTCTCAATCTGTAGGCCGCAACTCTATTCACTGACAACCAAGTACTAGCTGCCGCTCTACTTGCTGGATCGTCACGCACTCATCCTAGACATTGGTTGATACGTCCGATCATTACTGAAATAAAATACACGACATTATCCAAGCAAAAGGCTACAAAGTACACAAGATCCATAGGGAGGCAAATAAGATAGCTGATAACCTTGTTAAAAAGGCAAGACAAGCAAGCATCTTAAATTCAGGTCTTTTTTCTTGCCAGGCACTTACGCATCATCCAACTTGTAAAATCAAGCTTGTGCTAAAAAAAACATTGACTCCCCATCGCCGTAACATGCTTGTAACATGTCTGTGATGCAATAGAATTTTTAACTTTTCAAAAAAAAACAAGAAACAGTACTGTAGAGCGCCACGTCCAACGTGCAACACGTTGTTCCATGACCATGGTGCTAGCTGGGGTGTTTTCAGACGTCACTAGCCCATCATGTCCAACTAGCAAACGCCAATGCAAACGCACAGATCGATCGCTCTCATGCCCCGGCGAGCGCTAGCTAATTTCTCCTCTGGCATCATGCCCCCCACCACCCCAGAAAACGATCGAACACATACGGCCGTGTGTGCCTCGAGGGCCGAGGGAACCCCTCCGATTCGTCCGTCGTCGTCACCCTTGAGCTCTTTTCCTCCCGTGCTAAGGGGGTGTTTGGTTTCAGGGACTAATTTTTAGTCTCTGTCACATCGGATATTTGGACACTAATTTGGAGTACTAAATATATTCTAATTACAAAACTAATTACCCCGATGGAGACTAATTTACGAGACGAATCTATTAAGCCTAATTAATCCATCATTAGAGTATATTTACTGTAGCACCACATTGTCAAATCATGCACTAATTAGGCTTAATAGATTCGTCTCGCAAATTAGTCTCCATCTATGTAATTAGTTTTGTAATTAAAATATATTTAATACTCAAAATTAAATGTCCCAAACATCCGATGTGACGAGACTAAAAATAATACCTGGAACCAAACACCCCTAAGTAAAGCGCAGATCGTGACGTCAGCGGCCACTCACGGTCACGGTCTCCGCACACGCACGCGCTCTCTCGCTTTCTCCACCTCCCGTCTGGCTGTGGGCACGAACGGCCGGCCGGCCCAAGCCGAGTGAGCGCGCGCCGCACTGATCGGTCTCGGTCGAGTCCAGCGGCCAAGCGCGTCGTGCTCGTGCTCGTGCATGCCCGCAGCGGCGTGGCGGAGCGCGGACTCACTGGCTGACCCCGGGTCAGAGCTCGTTTTGCGCTGTTGCGGCGCGGGGTGGGGTTAGGCCGATCGGCCCCCCTAGCCGTGTTGACGGCGATCGAGGCGACCCACCCGAGTCGCCGTACAGGGGAGGGAGCCAGGGAGGGCGCGCCCCAGGGGGACCAACCAGCCACCAGGTGACGCGCGGTCGGGCGCGTGGAGGACCGGACGTGGCGACCGCCGAGCGGGCGCGCGCGCCGGGGACGACGTGGCGCGGTCAAATGGGTGGTCGTGCACCGCCCGGAGCTATAGCCGGGCGGGCGGCGGCGCTAGCGGATTAGCGAGGCGAGGGCGAGGCGCGCTTTTTCCGGCGAACCGCGTCGCGGCCGCCGCCCCCGGATAATTATATCGATCTGGCTTGAAGCCACCGGGATCGGACGCGCGCAGCGGCGGCCAGGTGTTTAACGAGTTAGGCGCGCGCTCGGGCTAAACCTCGCGATCGCATCAGGGCAGATTTAGGATTATTTTACCTCATCTTGATCGATGGAATCGATCGACCTGCTGCTTGGTGAGCTTCAACTTTCTACTCTATCTACCATTTAGCAGTGGAATTACGATGGACTCCTGGATTTGCCAGCCGGTGCCTCCACGTCAATTACCAGCCTGGATCGGAGGGGATTTATTACAGTGGAAGAAACTTTCGGTTCAGCAGTTTGGACAACTTGCTTATCTATGAACTCCAGCAGTTCGGTATGCATAAGGTCACTCTCAATCGTTTCATTAGAGTTTCATTTGCATTTAATAACCTGTCACATATGCATTTTTGATGACATGTCAATGTTTTAACGAGGAGAGAGAATAAATGAGTTTTATGGGGATGAAACTCTCTTGGCAAAATTACTAACTCTTTATGGGTCTTAGAATTAAATTCATATGAAACTCTAGAATGAAACTTTGCATTGGGAGTGGTTGTTTCATCCAAAATTTAATTTCATCCTATATAACATGGTAATCTTGGAAACAAACGTAACGAAACTCTCCACTGAGACTGACCTAAGGGTGTGTTTGGAAGCGATCCAAATTCTCCAAAGAAACATTTTGCACAGAAATTGAATCATTTGATGGAACCGTTTGGCCGACTTAACTGATTCATGTTCCATCTGTTATCTATCCGTTTGCGGGCATGTCAGCCGCTCCCTCCTCTTCCTCTTCTTCGTGCGCATGCCCCGCCCACCGATTCACTGCCAGAGCGCCCTCGCCTGTCCGTCCCACGCCGCCGAGGCGCTCCCTCATCCGCCGTTGTCCACGCTGGGAGGATCTCCGTTGCCGTGCCGGGGAGGAGCTCCGATCCCTCACCCGCACCGCCGGGAGGACCCCCCTCGGTCACGCGTCTGCGGCAGGGAGGAGCACCGCCGGGAGGACCCCCCTCGGTCACGCGTCTGCGGCAGGGAGGAGCACCGCCGGGAGGACCCCCCTCGGTCACGCGTCTGCGGCAGGGAGGACCTTCCTGCTCCCGTGTCCAAGCCGTGCATCGAGAGGAGCTCCCTCACGGCCTTACTCGCGCCGCTAGGAGGAGTTCGTGGGGCCCGCACAAGCACTCCCGCCGGCGCCGGGAAGGAAGATGAAGATGGAGCTAACGGAAGGCGGAACGAAACGGGCGAAACCAGGCAATCACGGTTTCGCGTTTTTACACAAAGGAAGTGTGAAACGGTTCCGATCTTCTGAGCTCTAGTATCCCGTTTGGAAGAGTTTCTCCCGATTCTCCAAAGAAACCGAAACGTTTTTCCATGCAAACAGGGCCTTAGTCATGACCCCAAGGATTCGAATTTGGACTATCAAATTCTGAAGAAGGTCGTACACGTGAAAACAGACATGGCTGATGTCGACTAGACTCGACCCACATGCATGAGCGATGAAACCTTGACCAGCACGGACTGGTATGTACTCCGTATATGGGTATGGTAGGCCATAACGCAAGTTGGGAGCCCAGGTCAACTGCCAAACTATGAGAGCGATACCGTGCATATCGAAACGAGCTAAGCATGCAGGTCAACTGTGCTGGGTCCAGAGTCCAGCACAATGAGCACCTGGGCTGGGACCAAGCTAGCAAGAGTGCTTGCTTGCTCGGCCTTATTTGTCTGCTGGTTCATGCACCATGTAGTTGTGTCAGTGTTACATGGCTGAGGGTGACTTTGCCTCCTCGCCCAACTCCGTTAGGGCTCTCATGTACGGACCTATGCTGATTTCCTGTAAAGTTTACGTGAGATTGCCTCAGAAGATTGGACCAGTACTGTTCACATGTACTCCTGCTATTTCAGTTCTCCTGTTCAGCATCTAGATCAGCAGTAGCTGAAGCGACACACCACCAGAATCGACTGTATCATTATTTGACACGGAGCGATTCATACAGAGATCACTTCATACGATCCATAATGACTCCATCAATCGCGAGCAAAAAAACGGTTGCGATCTAGCTAGGATTTGCCGGTTGCTGCCACACCAGATCGAGATACACACCGTTCGTTCGTTGATTTCAGCCAGGACTTATCAGTCAGCCAATAATATTTTTTTCTCACAACAAATCAGCACCAGCCGAAGAACTACCAGCGAACAGGCTCGTAGATGGCGTTGGCCACTGGCCTGGCTACGAGCTAGGAAACACGGACTGTCTTTGTCCCTGTCGTGGCTACTCCACGCAGCACCGAAAAAAACAACGCAGGTGCTAAGCTAGCTGCGCTTTTCGGCAGGAAAATGCTACGGTAAGTCGGTAATCCGTCATCATATCCATCGAGAAAAAAAAGAAGGGGGGCGGCGGCATTTCATGCATCCTCCGGCGCCCTCCCGTGGTAGTGGCAGTGGGATGCCCCTGACAGCGACACGGCCTCGGCAAAGCCCGTGCTGGATATATATGTGGCAATAGCTTACTCCTTTGCGGCATCACCTTAGCTTACTCACTCACTACACATCGCTGGGGAGACAACTCGGGAGGATTAAGGATTGATAAGCTCTCTAAGATCACTGAAGTTGAAAGATTAAAGCTCCATCTCTCCTGACTTGAGGTAGACAGAGAGATAGAAAAGAGGGGACGAGACAGGAATGGAAGGGCAGTTTGGTTGGGGAAGAGAGGAGGGAGGGTGGAGGAAAGGGCCATGGACGGCGCAGGAAGATAAGCTCCTGGTCGAGTACGTCAGGCAGCATGGAGAAGGGAGGTGGAATTCTGTCGCCAAGCTGACTGGTAATGAACACTGTTACTGATTATTCTCGTTTGTTCTGACAGTTTTTTTTTTTTTTGAGGGAAACGTTTGTTCTGACAGTCATTTGTCTCTTTAGTTTTTTTCCCCCTTTCTTTACCAACTCACCATAGCCAACCTACCTGAAGCTGCAAGTTGCATACTTGCATTTTCTTATTCAGCTAGTTGATGCAGTCAAACCTCCAATTACATGGGAATTTAGATTCTATTTATTCCCCTGCACACGATTGCCAACTTGCTAGAGGTTCATGATTATCTATTTTATACTCTTATTAGTCTTAACCTTGTCGATCGGGCATGATGCAGGTCTGAAGCGAAGCGGCAAGAGCTGCCGGCTTCGGTGGGTGAACTACCTGAGGCCCGACCTAAAGAGAGGCAAGATCACGCCGCAGGAGGAGAGCCTCATACTCGAGCTCCACGCCCTGTGGGGAAACAGGTAATAAATCCCTTCTCGCTCTCACCGATCAGCTGGTACCTGTTCAGTTCACCGATGATGATCAGCTGATCACGTTATGCTCTGACCATGTATACACAGATGGTCGACGATCGCGCGCAGCCTGCCGGGGCGGACGGACAACGAGATCAAGAACTACTGGCGGACGCACTTCAAGAAGGGCAAGCCGTCCAAGAACATCGAGCGCGCCAGGGCGCGGTTCCTCAAGCAGCGCCGTGAGATGCAGAGCCAACTGCTGCTGCAGGGACAAGACCAACAGCAGCAGGAGAAACAGCCCGATCACGACGACGACGACGATGGCGACGCCAGCAGGGAGACGGTGCCGGCGGCCGTTTCACTGGCGCAGCAGAACGAGGAGGACCTGAGGATTCTGCAGCAGGACATGGACGACCTGCTGTTCCAGTTCTGCCCAATGGCCTCCTGCACCTCCTCCTCCTGCCTCCTCCCCGGCGGCAGCTGCACCTCCGGCGTCAGCGCGTCGGCGAGCGAGGAGGGGTACAGCGGGGATCACCAGCTCAACGGCGGCGCCACGTGGGGGTGGGGCAGCCTGTGGAACCTCGACGACGTGGTGGATGACGTCGATGGCGGCGCCTGCGGCTGGGACAGCAGCTTCCCATTGCTGCAGGATCAAGGGCTCGCTTTCTACTAGCAGCTGCTTGTTGTACCCTACAACTTTATATAGCCCTGCTACAATTAGATGTTCTTTTCGTCTTCGACTGCTTCCTGCTGCGGCCTATGTGTGGAGGGTGAGAGCGAGAGGTCACTCTGATTGTTGCGTTGGATAAGGATGCAACACCAACCAAAGCCCACTTCCAGCGAGTAGCATGTCTTCATGACTTGTTTACCTCGTCTTTAACCACTTTTTTCCCCGAGGGATGAGAGAGTTTGTTCTCCTTATAAGATCATGGTGTGTTCAAAGTGCAACTTAGCTCATGTACTTCCATTTTACAACCCTCCCCCCTCAACATGTGTTTAGGTGCATAGTTATGCTGCCATGAGTTCTCTTAGAGCATCTTCAAGAGTTTGTCTGTGTATCTCCAATAATTCCTAATAGTGGAACTATAGTGACGACGTGGACAAGGGACCGAAGAGTCAAGGGAGCAGGGTTCTAAATAGCCCGAAATTGCACAGCTATAGTTTCATTATAGCTTTTTCATAGGATCTACTACTATGATATTGCTAATTGTACAGCTATTTTGGACTGATGCCTCTTCTTTGAAGAGGGCTGAAGCTAGAACTTTTTCCATTATCTAAAAAAATTGTTCAGCTATTTTCACTAATGACACTTCATCTTGCTAAACACTGTTATTTGACTTAGCTACGAAATAGTTTTAGCACCACTAAAATATTCATTCGTTAGACTAAGTCTCTCTGGTAGGTTTTAATTGATGTTGGTCTAATAATATGTTAAATAATTATTGAACTATTGATCATTGAATATTGAATGAATTTGAATGTTAATCGCAATAGTGAGTATGTTGATTGATATGGTAAATGTTAAGTGATGAATGTGAAGGAATATTGTTCTAAAGCATGTACATCATGTGTTCAAGTATTTATGTTTATAAATTTTTGCTTGTTTAAATGTTTTCATGCATAAGTAGTTAAGAATTTTTATGTTTCCTATAAAGCCAACAAAATAGCTTATGTTATATCCGCTATAGCCTTTATAGTTTTTAAAGGAAACCATGTGTGATTTAGTGTTTGTTTGGCATGACTCTCCCCTAGGTGCTTCTATGGAGGAGCCCGAGCCAGAGAAATGAGTCATAAATTGTAGCTCTAGCTTCTACCAAAAAAACAGCTTTGCTTCTCTTGAATGCACCAAAAAAATAGTTTCTCCTTCTAAAATGTTTGATTGATACAACTCATTTAACTTCTATCGAAGTTGCTATTAGATCTCGAGATAGAACCGTGCCAAACATGACTTAGGGACTGTGTAGGAGAGCTCCGGCTTCAGAAAAATAGATCTAGGTCACCAGGGCCTTGTTTAGTTCTTCTCCCTAAAGTTTAGTCCATGTCTTATCGAATGTTTGACATATGCATGGAGTATTAAATATAGACTAAAAAATAACTAATTGCATAGATTGCGACTAATTTGCGAGACAATTTTTTAAGCCTAATTAGTCCATGATTTGACAACGCGGTGCTACAGTATTGTTCATGTCAGACGCATATGGGAGGTTTTACCGCATTCACCAGGCATGGCAAATGCCGGCGCCCACAACACTGTTGATGCCCAGATACATGTGGGGGGTTTTACCGTGTTCGCCTGGTACGGGAATTGATGGCGCCCACAACACTATAAGGCAAACGTCGGCAACCACAACACTGCTTGGGTTCTGACATGCCTAGAAGGTTGCAGTGTACCCTTTTGACATGCCCTGTCGGTACTGTCCTGCAGGTGCATAAGGTACGGTCCTCGGTATTGCGGTTGACTCGAGCGTCCTGGCTTACTTGCTCCGCCAGTTTCCTAGGTCCTCACCGAGCGGGTGTCCCCGGTCGGCTGGTCCCAGTCGGCTCTGACTGCGCCAATCGGAGAAGAGCTGTAAGCAGAGGTTCGGTGCATCCCCGGTCGGAGACGCGGGTCGGAGTCAGAAGCGGTGTTTGGCCAGGCCTTCCGGTCGGAGAAGCGGGTCGGAGTCGGAAGCGAACGTCCTCTCCTCCTTGGCCAGGCCTTCCGGTTGGAGAAAGCGGGCCGGAGTCGGAAGCGAGCCCCGTTCCTCCTTGGCCAGGCCTTCCGGTCGGAGAGGCGGGCCAGAGTTGGAAGCGAGCATTGTGCTTTCCTTGGCCAGGCCTTCCGATCAGAGAAAGCAGGCCGGAGGTGGAAGCGAGCGCCGTTCCTCCATGGCCAGGCCTTCCGGTCGGAGACTGGATCGCCCTTCTGGCCTATCGTTAGGTTTTTGGGCCAGCCTAGGAGTTGCGTGTCATTCGCAATGTCGTCTGCTGGGCTGAGCTTTTGTTGGAGAGTAGGTCCATTAGGGACCCCGGGTTTATAAACCTGACAGGAGCCCCCGAGCCCCCGGGCGATTCGGGTAGAATCGTTTGGGGGATTTTTTTGTTTCGACAGCGGGTGCGGGCGAGCGCACCCGCGGGTGTAGCCCCCGAGCCCCCGAGTGATTCGGGTAGAATCGTCCGGGGTTTTTTTTGTTTCGACAGCGGGTGCGCGCGAGCGCACCCGTGGTTGTAGCCCCCGAGCCCCCGGGTGATTCGGGTAGAATCGTCCGGGGGGTTTCGTGTTGCCAATGGGGGAATTATTTGTTTCGACAGCGAGTGCGCGCGAGCGTACCCACGGGTGTAGCCCCTGAGCCCTCGAACAATTTTAGGTAGAATCGCCAGGGGAGTTTTGTCAGCGGGCGTGTGCAAGTGCACCTTGGTGGGCGTAGCCTCCTCTTTCCAGTTTCTGATCCATCGTTTCTAGGAGCGCGGACCCAGGCGTCTGGCCGTGGCCGAGGGACCAGGCGAGTCAAAGTCGTCAACCAAGGTGTCGGGCGTGCCGAGGGTTCGGGCGAGTTGGAGTCGTGGATCGAGGGATCGGGCGAGTCGGAGTCGCCAACCAAGGCGTCGGGCGTGCCGAGGGATCGGACGAGATGGACTCGCGGATCCAGGCGTCGGGCGTAGCCGAGGGACAGCCGAGGGATCGGACGGGATGGACTTGCGGATCCAGGCATCGGGCGTAGCCAAGGGGTTGGGCGTCTCGAGCCCCTGAGCCCTATTGGGCTCGGAAGGAGGCGGTTGAGTTTCGTGCGTTACCCTGTTCGCTGTTTCCGCAACCAGAGGTACTGAGCTAACGTTGCTTGCCTCGATGGCTCGAGTGATGCTCTCAGTGAGCTCGCTAATGGGCACGTTCAAGTGAAATCCGGCTCCGTCGTTCATGACGGGGTCGGCATAGCCCTCATGTGACATTCCACTGCTCCTTAACCCATGTCCCAGCAAATGCCTGGGTCATTCTGGAGACCGACCCAGGTGGCCTGCTGGCCTCCCCTCGATGGCGATTCTGTGAGCATGGCTCGAGGTTAGGATCGAACGAGAAGGTTGAGATGACCTTGTCTGCTTCTGAGCATATCGAGCGAGGACCGCTGGGGCTCATCTGTGTTTTCTCTCCTGGCTCTGTTTGACGTGAGGTGGCCTCGAGCCCTTCATGGGCCAGCCTTTTAACCTCGATCGGTCGTTGCTCATGTTGAATGAGGCAACTACCGCTTTATGACACAACACGAAGCGTTGTGATGCATCAACTGCATATGCGATGCTTTGGATGCATGGGATGGATGAATAAATGCGTGCATGGATGAATGTGTGAATGTGTGTATGAGAAATAATGAATGAATGATCATGGAAATAAATGAAATAAAAGGTTTTGGTAAAGTTACCTTGATGACTCGAGTGACGGGTTTGAGGAGCTCTTGTCGGATGTGTCCGACCGGGATCCGTGTCCACTGTTCGTGGCAGAGACGGCCTAGCCCACATGGGGCATCCCTCTGCTCCTTACTTGTCTATCGGTGTTTGTCTAAGTCGTCCGATCGACTCAGGAAGCCCGTTGGTCTCTCCTGGGCGGAGATCCCGTTGTTGGGTGCTTCCAAGTCTTGCCTATGAAGGCGGAGGGCCGCCTATGTGCGGTTGCGCCTTGTTTCCCATGCCCAGTGTGCGGTAGTGGTGGGCCATGCCTAGGCCATGTCTCGTCTCACTAGGCGCCATCTCATCGGGCAGGGTGCAAACCATTAGTCAGGACACGTCCCGTCGCATTCCCATCTGCATTGAATAGGGGAAGGGAGAGGGTTTTTTTGCCCCAATCCTTCGTCTTGCTCCAACCGCTGCGTCTCCTCCTTAAATAGGGGAAGGGAGAGGGTTTTTGTCCTGTTCCTTCGCCTATTCTCCAACTGCCGCCTCTCCTCCTTCCTTCTCACCAAGTGCATTCGTGTGCCGCGGCGGTTCCTAGGAGAGAGAGAGAGAGGGTAAAGCGAGGGAGAGGAGAACTCAAAGATCCGTTTGTGAATCCAGAGCGCGATGTCGAGCTAGAGGTCATCCAGTGTAAGCGAGTCGGTGCTGGCCGCCTTTGCCGAGAAGGGGCTGCTGCCATCGAAGGAGGTGGCACACTGGAGGGCTCGTGCGGGGGATGCTTTTCTGTGACCTTGGGCCAGCAAGGTCGTCTCCTTCCTCGCCTTCCACGAGCGCGGGCTAGGATACCCTGCACACTAGTTCCTGCACGGGCTCCTCAATGAGTGGGGCCTGGAGCTGTGGCACCTCAATCTGACTGGGGTGCTGCAATCACCGGCTTCGTCACCGTCTGTGAGGCCTTCCTTGAAATAGAGCCACACATGGACTTGTTTCGGCAGCTATTCTCCTGACGAGCCTTGTCAGAGGGGGATCCGCCCAGGACCACGCCGGTGGGGGGCTTCGCCCTATAGAAGAAACCAAGTTCGTCAGGCGCCTATCCCGAGTACTCCCCCTGCGGCTCCAATCGGGGGTGGCATGGGGAGTGGTTCTACATCAGGAACCCGGTGGAGGTGCCACTCCCGCCATTCACATGTAGAAGGCCGGAGACGTGGGAGAATTGGTCATGGGGCCCTACCAGTCGGTAGAACAAGCTGGAGATCATCGGGGCAGAGATCCAAAAGCTGGTGCAGCATGGCCTCGATGGGCTACGGGTGTTCC